ACAGGGGAATCTTACCATAAATGTTAGACGCCTTCCCTCGGTGAGTTCACTTCCTGGTGAACGGGACAAAAAGATTTGGATGTGGCATCGATGTCTTAAGTGTGCACAAATAGAGGGAGTTCCACCAGCGACTCGCAGAGTAATAATGTCAGATGCTGCTTGGGGACTCTCATTTGGGAAGTTCTTGGAACTTAGTTTTTCAAATCATGCAACTGCTAACCGTGTTGCTAGCTGTGGTCATTCTCTGCAAAGAGACTGCCTCCGATATTATGGGTCCGTACTGTGTAGTACTTTCCTTAAGAATAGGGTTGGCTTCCCCAACAGTTTGAAATCACTGTGATTATTCAGTCATTGCTTCACCATCTTGTTGTGAAGAGAATAAAATAGACTTTGCTTTTGCAGGTGTGGAAGTATGGTTGCGTTCTTCCGCTATTCTCCTATTGACATTCTGTCAGTTCGTCTGCCCCCATTAACTCTTGAATTTAGTGGCTACACAGAACAGGAATGGCTAAGGAAAGAAGCAGCTGAGGTGCCAGAATTTATAAATACTTTTCGTGGCTATCTTGAAATGATTCTGAGTTTTTGTAATATCTTTGGTTTTGTTTTTGCTTACAATAGCTCTGTGTGACATGTCTTGTCTTTCCTGCAGTTACTGTGTAAAGCCAAAGCTTTGTACGCGGAAATATCCAGTGCCTTTCGAAGGATTGAAGAGAAAAGTTCCTCTTTAGAATGTCAAATATATACAACTCAGTTGAATGACTGCATCGTGGAGTTAAAGGACCTGCTTATGAAAGAAAAGAACGATTACTATGTAAGAAACAACGGGTCATCAATCTTAATACTTGTACATTTTCCTTTCATGAGTATAATTTTGCAGTTTTGCTGCAGATTATGTAGTAAAGCATGCATGACTAGTGCTGTCTTTCTCCTTACTGCTTTGCTTTCTGTTTGCCTGTACACTAGGACTTTCTTCAACCGGATGATGAAGAAACTTTCGACCCAAGGCAGGCTGCAATAGACATTCTTGAGCTGAATCACTTGAGGCACTCCCTTGTGATTGCTTCGCATGTTTGGGATCGTCGGCTTTTGTCTGTGAAATCTTTTCTTGAAAAGAGTTCTAGTTCAGTGGGTTCAGAGGATTCTGGATCTTGTAATGAGCTGATAGACTGGAGGAGGGACATGTTTCTGAAGAATGACACTCTTGAACATGTTTATGAAGAATCTGTGCCTGGGTTCTCAGACTTAGAAGAATATACCGAGAAAGCTTTGCAGTCCGAACAGGAGGAAACTCGCGTATCACCTTATGGTTCTGGTGAGCTCGAAAGTTCCATGTTAACCTCATCTGATAGTGAGAGAACGCAGGAAATGCAGATGGAAGGAGAGAATGTGGCTACTGAAACATCCTTGGCACGAACTCCTTCAGCTGCATCAGTCCTTTCCGATCAGATAGATTCTGCTTGGACTGGCACAGACCGATCTCCCAAAAAAGGTCAGTTGCTTCTGATGCTGCAAGGAGAAGGATCTGAAGCTGCTTCTTTTAGACCACCAAGTCAACTTGATTTCCCTCCTTTTAGAAAGCTACGGTCACCCGCAAGAGTTCACTCCTTTGACTCTGCTCTGAGACTTCAGGAAAGAATCAGGAAGGGACTGCCGCCTTCTTCATTACATTTATCAACAATTAGGTCTTTTCATGCTTCTGGTGACTACAGGAATATGATCAGAGACCCTGTTTCCAGTGTTCAGAGAAGTTATTCTCAGATGTCACCTAGTGAAGCTCATAAGTTTAATCTTCTTATGGGTTCATCGCCCTCGTTTATTTCTTATGCATCTCTTATACCTGACGGAGCTCGGTTGATGGTTTCACATGGAGATGTTGTCGTAGCTGTTTATGACAATGAACCTACTAGCATAATATCTTATGCACTTTGTTCGAAAGCATATAATGATTGCGTCACTGACAAGGCAAGCGTGTATGGACGGGGTTGGAACACAAGTGACATCAATAAGGAGGCTGGAGTGGCTCCTCGCCTCTCGGCATGGCAGTCCTTTGGCTCCCTCGACATGGATTATATGCATTATGGTAGCTATGGTTCTGAAGATGCTTCCAGTACAATTACTTCCCTATTTGTAGATTCGAAAAGTTCTCCTCACCTAAGGGTCTCTTTTGATGACGAATCTTCGATTGCTGGGAGAAAGGTCAAATTTTCTGTCACTTGTTACTTTGCAAAGCAGTTTGATGCTCTTAGGAGGAAGTGCTGTCCTGATGAACTGGATTTTGTACGTTCCTTGAGTCGTTGCAAAAGATGGAGTGCTCAAGGGGGAAAGAGCAATGTTTATTTTGCCAAGTCATTGGATGAAAGATTCATAATAAAACAAGTTCAGAAAACTGAGTTGGACTCTTTTGAAGAATTTGCACCGGAGTACTTCAAATATATAACAGATTCTATTAGCTCACAGAGTCCAACTTGCCTTGCTAAAGTTCTTGGAATATTCCAGGTTCGACTTCCTTTTCATGTTTTCTCCTATAAACTTCCTTCTTATGACAGTGAAAAATGGTGTGGCTTTAATTTTCGAACTAGTTTTTAGTTGTAGCACAAGTCTTATTCCTATTCATATCCAATGTTTTAGGTTTCGGTCAAACACTTGAAAGGCGGCAGGGAAACAAAAATGGATTTAATTGTGATGGAGAATCTCTTTTTTGAAAGAAAGATCTCGAGGGTCTATGATCTCAAGGGTTCTCTACGATCTCGCTACAATGCAGATACAACTGGGGCAAACAAAGTGTTGCTGGATATGAATCTTTTAGAAACATTGCATACGAAACCCATATTTCTTGGAAGCAAAGCAAAAAGAAGCCTGGAGCGAGCTGTTTGGAACGATACATCCTTTTTGGCAGTAAGCTACTTTTGCTTCCTATCTCTCTCTAGATTGTGATATAGATTTTTAAGTTAAATGAGAATTTTGCAATTTCATAAATGCAATAAAGGAACATAGCCACAACTCAAGTTTAGTGAGCACTTTATGATGAACAACTTGAGGGAGCGCAACTGGTGAATCTCCCTTAAGTGTAAATTTCAACGATGATTGAATAAAGTTTTTTGTTTTTGACAGTCTGTTGATGTGATGGACTACTCTTTGCTGGTTGGGGTGGACGAAGAGCGAAAAGAGTTAGTCTTGGGGATCATAGACTTCATGAGGCAGTATACTTGGGACAAGCACTTAGAGACATGGGTAAAGGCATCCGGCATACTTGGAGGACCGAAGAATGAATCCCCGACTATTGTTTCTCCACTACAATACAAGAAAAGATTCAGAAAAGCGATGACAACCTATTTTCTCACGGTACCACATCAATGGTCATCTTGAAAATCTTGAATTTGTTCTATTCTTTCTTAGAGCCTTCTGCCAATAAGCAAACTTTCCTAATTGCACAAAATTGCAGATGAAGGAAGGTTAGTTATTTTCCAGTTGGTTCATATTTGTTTTGCCATCTGGGGTTAAAATTCCCCTTGGAAAAGTGTATGAGAAGTAGGGACTGTCATCTTTATTAAGAAATATGGCAAAGTGTACATTTGACCATCTGTACATTTATACAAAAGCTTCATTGAGTAAATGAAATCAAATGTCTCTTATTGCAAATCAGTTTGCATTAGACTTCCCCTTCTCTCTGCATAGTACTTTTCCACTAGTGTAAAGCCTTTTTCCATTGTTAGTGTATTTTAACCTACAATAATAGGTTAGTTATATTCCCGAGCCGAGGGTTCTTCAGAAACAGCCTTTCTGCCTTATTAAAGGTCGGGATAAGGTCTGCATACACACTACGTCCCTCACTAGATTGCTTGTGGGATTACACTGGATTTGTTGTTATTGTTGATGATAATAGGTTAGTTATCTCATTTTAGCTGGTTATCAGTTAATGCTTATCATAAAAATTAACGTGTAATTATTACATAATTGGTGTGTAGAGCTTAAACTTCATCTTAAAAGAATTGTCTTCTTAAAAGAGCTCAGCCTTTTCCTCCCACATTTCCTTTTACAACTGTGGGAAGTATAGTAGGAGAGTCTTTCCAAAACAATTGTAAATTAATCTTGACTATGGGATAAACTCCAAATCATGTTCCACTTTTTTTTACGTACATCAACTTTATTACCATTCAAGAAAGAGTAGGGCACTATTTTATTCCTGTCACTTCTCTTGTAATGGAGAAAAGGGTAATTCTTTAATAAAAAATAAATAAAACGAAATAGACCCTTGTGGAAACATAATAGAATTGACTTTATGACTTTATGATACCAGATTTTTTATGGAGATTTTGTCTGTCATGTGAAAAAGATTAAGAACAATCCTTCAACATTGTTATTCTTATTATTTTATACTACAACACATTCTCTTGTCGGGTACAAGTTCAGTTATTTTTGGGATTGTTAATTGAAAAATAGTTCGCGTTTATAAAGTCATTGAAATATAGTCATTATTTTGTTGCTGCACGGAAAATTCCAGCATAATATACTGGAGATTGGTGCACCTGTGTATGAACTTCCAACTCCAGCACACGGAAAGTTCCAGCATAATATACCGGAGATTGGAGCACATGTGTATGAACTTCCAGCATATTATACCAGTATATTGTGTTGGAATATTTTTCGGAATTCGAACAGTGTTTTCGTTCAGATTTATCTTTACATGAAAAGTGACAAAATTTCGATTACTTTTAAAATTGTGTCTATTTTTAAATCAACACTTGTAAATCTGACTATTTTTTAATTTCACCCCAACATACTAGCTGCAAATAATTTGTTTTAAATCTTGGCCTAAGATAAGACTCTTTGACTTTTGTTTATCTATTTTAAACCATATCAATTTTGAACACTTAATGTTTAAGCGCCTAAGTTTTGAAAATATCAAACATCCAGAATGTATCTTAATTTTTCCTTTGCTTTCTTTTGGTTGTTTGACATACTAAGGAACGGTTCAAAAAATAAAAAAATAAAAATGGATATAACAGTAATATAATGTGCGCACACCATAGTTTTATATAAAAAAACAGGAATATATTGTAAGCTGTCTCTCACATAATTCACAAACGGCATATAATTCTCAGCTTCCTGATTTTACTATACATAAATAAAAGACTAATACATAATAGTAGTAAATATCTGAGAAAGTCTGCCTGGGAATTCGGAGAGGAGTACTTGTACACTACAAAAGAGAGAAATATAATAAATGGATTTATTTTTCTCCTCTTTAATTTGTTAAGAAGCCACTGCTAATTGAATCTCCCCTTCTGTAATTGGCAAGAATCCTACACGTTTCTGCAATTCATTCAACAAAAAGAAGAAAAAAAATTACTTACAAATAGGAGATTATATACAATTTTTTCAAGATTATCTGTAACAGCTTGTTTGGGTGTTTCAATAATGTTGGGTTGGTAAAAATGAACCCAAAAAAAAAACCACTAATGGTAATTAACGAGTACTTTTTCGTGTCCAAAATGCCTAACCTTTTCCTTTTTTTTATCCTCAGGGTGTACAAATAAAACCGACAAATCACACCAATCCGATAATTCGAGTTAAAACCGAGAAAAAAAATCCGACTATGGTTTGGTATTGAAAAAAAAAACCCGACCATATTTGGTTTGGTAGTAGAAAAAAAACCCTGACCATATTTGATTTGGTTCGGTTTGATTTGATTTTAACTAAAAAAAATCAAACCGAAATCAAACAAACCCGAGACTATTGTTATCATGCCTAAATAGAATAAAAAAGAAAAGTTGGTCATGGAAATTGGGGAATACCTTCCACTGCTAGGGAAGAATTAATCCAACCCAAAGTCTATTAACATACTTTTACTAAAAATAGTCAAACTATTAACTATTCTTGCCAAGTCAATAACAGGTAAAATTCAATTTGGCAAACCAAATTTTTTTCACTTGATATATAACATACACATACATTTAATATCTCGCTCGGTATTGTACCTTTACTTCAAGTTAAATCCAGTTACTTTTTTTTATAAAATTTCAATCAGAATTAGATGTCGACACAATATTTACTTATAATTTTTTGAGTCAGTAATCGTGCAACCAAACTTGACATCATGTTAGTTATAATGAATCAATATAGTAATAATGTGAAGAGCTGAATAATTAATTAAATATTTGAGAATCTATTACGTCTGCTAGGCAGTCTAATTAAAGCCAGACACGTGTCTCAGGGCAGTAGAAGTTTGGTTTAATTTGGTGTATAGACAATTCTGTTTGTTACACTCTCCACACTGCTTATTTCTCATTTCTAGTGACTCGACTAATTTAAATTTATATTAGATAGGTTCACTAGAGAGAGTATAGTACTTCTTATCAAAAGATTATTTATTCCTAAAACTTGAATTTGAGTTCGAACCATCTCAATAGCGGAACTTAATATACTACTAGAAACACCAACAATTCCTGCAAAATCTGCCAGGATTGTATTCGTCGAAAATAGCTTCGACGTTTTTTTTATATGTACGTTTTAAAAAAAACGTCCGTCAGAAATTCAAATGTTTTTAATAATGATTTTTCTTTTGGGAATTATTCTTGATATCATCCACAAACTCATGTAAATTTTATCCATAAAAGAAAAATGATGTATAATGCTCTGAGGAAAGTTGACAAAAAACCAAAATAGATTTTTAAAAACTATTCTTGGTAGCCGTTAGGTAACGAATTAGTTGATAAGGCACTATTCACACTTCAACTTCAATCTCTTTCATTTATTTTCTTTTAATTGGTCTTAAAAATCTAGTTACTAATATTTTCTAGCATTACGTACATGTACGTATACATTATCTTATCACATATGGAAACAAAATTTCCTTTTCCAGTAACTAGTTTCTTGTTTTTTTATAGGGAAAAGGACTAAATTTTATATTTTTATCCTCTATATGGATACAAAATTTAATATAAATAAGAAAAAGTTGAACTCATCAAAGTTTGACTTTGGTCGATGATCGAAGTAAACCAAGAATTTCAGAATGAAGCAGTCATTCTGGAAATTAAATTCAATAAAGGGAAAGCTTTTCACACTCATGTAATTTAACAAAATTGATTTGACCATGCAGTTTCTGAATTATAAGCAAAAGACAACACTAGTTGAGGAAATGAGAAGTCAAATTTGAGAAACTAGAAAAGTCTCCATATACCTATCTTTTACTAAAATTTGCCTTAAATTTTTTTTTTTTACTAAAAGTATATCACACAATACAAGAATTATTTTACCAAAAAACTCACTCAAACAAGGTCCATGCACCAAACCATGTTAATATATCATGTTTAAGTGATAATTTCTTTTGTGTATGTATTAATTATGATTAAATGTCATGTAAAAATTGCGTAAAAGACACATATATCATTCATCACTTATTAATTTGATATATGCATCATGTTCGAGTACATATTTTGTGAATATAACTTAGTTATATCAAGTTCACAGCTACACTATAGGATCATGTAGTAGTCTACAAATTGAGTTCTTCTTTTACTAAAAAAAACGTAAATTATTTTAACTTAAACAACATTTATTATATACTAATTAATTAATTAATTTTATTTTAGAGTTTAACCTATACACTGAATGTAATACGCAGACCTTAACCCTACCCTGAGGTAGAGAGACTGTTTCTGATAGATCCTCGGCTCCCTCCCTCCAACTTTAAAAACTCTCCACCTTGCTCTTGGGGTGACTTGAACTCACAACCTCTTGGTTGGAAGTGGAGGGTGCTCACCACTAGAACAATACACTCTTGGTTACAATAATACGTGATAAATATTACAATAATACGTGGCTTGATAGTGTAAGTATTTTTAAAATCACCGATGAATATTAGTAACTCATTATTTTTTGGGATCTTTACGCAAATAGCCGGTCAGTTTCATTGTCTACTTTTTCTAGCCGGTATACGATAATTATACACTAATTACACGTGGTTATATATATTTTTAGATTAAATAATTAAATGAGGTACTATTTAGGTTAATTCTTCTTTTTTTTTCTTAAGTTTAGAATCATGATTAGACATGGACAAAAAAAGAATGTAAAGAAAACATAACATGAAAAGTGGATCAATGTCTATAAGGAAGAGAACATTACCTCTCGAGATCTGATTCCTTTCTTAATTATTCCTCCATTGTTATTCTTCCAATTACTTTGTTCTTTCAACAACGGACCACTTTTATTCTGAAACATGTCTCTTCCACCACCACCGCCACCACCACCATTGTTGACCAAGCAAAGTCGCATAATTTTCTCGGCAACATCTCCTTCTTCTTTACTCTCCATCATTAGTTTCTCCACCTCAGCTCTAGGCAACCTCAACTTTACCCTCACGGTCCCACCACCGTTCTCCGTCTTACTATTATTAAGCACTGAGCCTGAAGCATAGTTATTATGATATGACGACTCTTCAGTCATAATACTGGGAGGCTTCAAGATTGACAAGTCAGACACAGATCTCCGAGCTAACATTAGGGTTTCGAGCCTATCTTTAGCGCTCATTTGGATCCCTGAACGGACCCTCCTCGGGGTTTTCTCTTCGGGATACTTAGGTAACTCAACTAGGAAATAGAGCCTTTTGGGTTTCAACTCTTGTTGTGGTTCCAATGGCTTTGCTCTGACCCCAAAATGCTTCACTGATTCGGATTCTAATAATACCATAGTAGGATAATTTCTTAGAACCTCGTTTGCATAAATTGGTGTCTTGAATTTCATGGTTTGTCCATCGATTTTCATCACTTTTGTTGTCTTTTTTCCACCTAGAGTATTCCCCATTTTTGCCTTTTGTTTTTCTGTTGTCTTTGTGACTTGTTGTAAGCTTTGGGGTTCTGTTTCTTCCTACTCCTATTATATAGTAGTAGTATATAATCAGATCTAACAACCAAATAATTAGAAACAATATTTATAGTAAATAAGGCTCGTTTTGGGGTTTTGTTTTTTTAATTGTGGATAAGTTTCTTGGAACCATCTTGAAATCTTGGCACGAGTTGAGCATAAATGGCAACATGGGTATTAAATAAGGAGTAGTAATTGCTTGTTTTTTGCTAGAGTTTGCGGTGTTTCTGGGTCAAAGAAAGAGTGCAGGTTTTAAAATGCCGACTCCTTTTTACAATTTTGAAAAAGATTACTGTAAAAAGTTTTTTATATTTTTGTTTTGTTTTTATTCTTTTTTCCCTTGTCTTGTGCGTTGTGATCTTCTTTTGTTTTTCCGATCAAATATATCGTTTTAAATTCTGAACACCTTTAGCAAAATTTATATTTTCGCTATTGTTTTTGTCCATTAGGTGCGTAAGCAAATGTTCTAACGATTAAGTTCATTATATTAATTTGAATATAAAGGCATAGTTTACAAAGCTTGTCATGCATGTGATTTCTAATTCTCAAGGAAAATCTTCAAAAGCTTCGATAATTTAAAATGCGCGCTCATCGTCTCGATCTCGTTCATATTCTTTCACAAATAAATAAAAGAAAATAAGTTAAAAAAGAAAGAAAGAAGAGAAAGCAAGCCCGTGATTAGTGGGAAATATGAGTATAAGAGTAATTTGGTAAGGCTATAATTTCAAATTAATGTAATCTCATTGGTTAATTAATTATAATTAAATAAGATTGGGGTAATGATAACAGGTACGTAAGTCATGGTGTGGATCCGTGAAATGGTGACAAATCCCATTTTTGTCTTCATTTCATGTGCTTTTTTGACTGTGTTTTCATGTAAGAGAAATGATCAAAACTTCACCGAACATGGACTTATTCTAATTTGCAAAGTCTACAAATTGGTTATGGCAACCTATAAAATATTATTCTTTGTAATACACGTAAAATCATGAATACATGTAAATTTTTTATTATATTTCTTCCGTTTTAATTTACGTGAACCTATTTCCTTTTTAGTCCGTACCAAAAAGAATGACTTCTTTCCCTATTTGGAAATAATTTACCTTTATGCAATGATTTATAACCACACAAAATATATGTGTCTCATTTTACACCACAAATTCAAAAGTCTTCTCTCTTTTCTTAATCTCCGCGCCCAGTCAAAAGGGTTCACATAAATTGAAACGGAGAGTATAAATCACTAGTATTAGCAACCGCGCGGATGCGCGAACATTAATCATGTCAAATATTTAAGTTATTTGGATTATATGTAAATAATCTTAAAATTTAAACTTTTTCGGTAAATATAGATAATCATTGGATATTAATAATAAACACTACATGAAAAAAATTTAACAATTTCTTCTTCTTTTTTTTTTTTGATATCATTCTCGCCGGTGTCATTGGATCCTAAAAATAGTGAGGAAGCAAAATAATAACTCATATTTATGGCAAAACAATCAAATGTTGAGACTATGAATGACTCTTTGGATACGACTTGACTCTTTTACTACTACTTGAACTCTTATTTTGTGTGTTGATATCTCTTAAAAAATATTTCTTTTTTAAAATTTCAGTTTCTAAAACTTTATTTTTCAATAATAATTATTTTTATAATAATATAAGTGAATATATTATCCTTAATTCAAAACTCATTTTAGTTGGCTATCTAAAAATTTTAAAAATAATTTAGCCAGTGAATTATTTTTCCCAGTATGACTCCATTTTGATATTTGATATTTGACATTAACCATATTAAATATCTGAGTTATTTGAATGATATGTAATTAACCTTAAAATTTAAGCCTTCTAAATAATTATAGATAATCGTTAGATATTAATTAAGAAACATTACATGAAAAAAGACTAAAATTTTCTCAAATCTCATAGTGATAATTTTGTTTTTGCAATATTCTCATTGGTGTCAATGGAACCTAAAAATAGCCACAAAGCGAAATAATAACTCATATTTATGGCAAAGCACAAAGGTTGAGTTCGAGATATCTCTCTTGTTGTTTACATTATAAATAGATTATACCAGGTAAAGGAAAATTATGGTAGACTGATAATTATTTTTGTTTACATTATAAATAATTAGAACTTTGAATATGACTTTAATTACTACCTATGGTCTAACTTGATGTTCTAATTATGAAATTGTAAGAATTTCTAGATCTCCTCAAGGTTATGTTCCTATGCTAACTTTTAAAATGTGTCACGACCCGAAATTCTCACCTCCGGGACTGTGATGACGCTTAACATTTCACATACTAGGTAAGCCAACGTTAGAATAATATTATCCATTTTTAAAATAATTTTTAAATTTATTAATAACAAGAAAACAAATACGGAAGTAAGGTCTGAATTGTAGTGAATAATCCATAAAAATAACGGTATCTAAATACCATCCCAGAATTAGTGTCACAAGTGCACGAGCTTCTAGATTATTACAAATAAAGGTGTGAATAAAATAAAGCTGTCTGTAAACAAACACACAGCTAAAGTAAAGTAGCCGGAAATTTCAGAACTGCGGACGTCGTGAGGCTATACCTCAAGTCTCCTCTGGTAGCTGAAATCCGAGCAAGTTTATGGTACACCGCTGAGACCAACTCCAAAATCTGCACAAGAAGTACAGAGTGTAGTATCAGTACAACCGACCTCATGTACTGGTAAGTGCCGAGCCTAACCTCGGCGAAGTAGTGACGAGGCTAAGGCAGGTCACTCACATTAACCTGTACGCAATAATACTAACAACAACAACAACAACAACCCAGTGAGATCCCACAAGTGGGGTCTGGGGAGAGTAGTGTGTACGCAGACCTTACCCCTACTCCAGAGGAGTAGAGAGGTTATTTCCGGTAGACCCTCGGCACAAGAAGGAAAGAGACAGTGTATCAGTAACAGCAACGGAATCCAGAAAGATAACAGCATCAACACAATAACTAGAAAATAAAGAGCAAAGTAGTAACACTAAGTAGTAACACTAAGTAGTAACAAAGGCACAGTACTACAGACGCAAGGGAATAATATGTACACAAAGGGCCACTAAACATACTACAGCCTAACTTACGACCCTAATGAAGTTTTAAGAACACAACTGGAGCCACTAGCAGCCTAAAACAAAACACTAATATACTAGCCTCCTATCTCCTAACCTACAACCCTAATGCTCGACCTCCATAACTTCCTGTCAAGGGCCATGCCCTCGAAAATCTGTGTCCGCATCATGTCCTGCCTGATCACCTCTCCCCAATATTTCTTAGGTCGCCCTCTACCTCGTCTCATACCCGTCAAGGCCAGTCGTTCACACCTCCTTACTGGTGCATCCAGTCTCCTCCTCCTCACGTGCCCGAACCATCTAAGCCTAGCTTCCCGCATCTTGTCTTCCATGGGAGCCATGCCCACCTTCACCCGAATATCTTCATTCCTAATCTTATCTAGCTTAGTGCGTCCGCACATCCATCTTAGCATCCTCATTTCTGCAACTTTCATCTTCTGTGTATGAAAATTTTTGACTAGCCAACACTCTGCCCCATATATCATGGCCGGCCTAACCACCGCTCTATAGAACTTTCTTTTAAGTTATAGAGGCACCTTTATGTCACACAGGACACCAGACGCTAGCCTCAATTTTATCCACCCCACTCCTATACGTTACGTAACATCCTCGTTAATATCCCTATCCCCCTGAATAATCGACCCCAGGTACTTGAAGTTGCCTTTCTTTGGGATGACTTGAGAGTCAAGACTCACGTCCATGTCCGCTTCACCTGGCATACCGCTGAACTTGAACTCTACGTATTCAGTCTTAGTCTGGCTCAACTTGAATCCTTTAGACTCAAGGGTCCGTCTCCAAACCTCCAATCTCTCGTTAACACCACCTCGCGTCTCATCAATCTGAACTATATCATCAGCGATAACATACACCATGGCACCTCCCCTTGAATATGGTGTGTCAGTGCGTCCATCGTCATAGCAAATAAGAACGGGCTGAGCGCCGATCCTTAGTGTAGCCCCATAACAACCGGAAAATGCTCTGAGTCGCCCCCCACTGTACTAACCCGAGTCTTAGCTCTATCATACATATCCTTAATCACCCTAATATAAGCCACCGGAACACCTTTCACCTCCAGGAATCTCCAAAGAACTTCCCTAGGTACCTTGTCATAAGCTTTTTCTAGGTCAATAAACACCATGTGAAAATCCTTCCTCCTGTCCCTGTACAGTTCCACCAACCTCCGAATAAGATGGATAGCTTCCGTAGTGGAACGACCAGGCATAAACCCAAACTGGTTATCGGATATCGACACCAGCCTCCTCACCCTCGCTTCCACTACTCCCTCCCACACTTTTATGGTATGACTCAGTAGCTTGATGCCCCTATAGTGGTTACATTTCTGGATATCGCCTTTGTTCTTGTATAGCGGAATCATCGTACTCTACCTCCATTCCTCTGGCATCTCTTTCGTCTTGAAAATAACATTAAACATCCCAGTTAGCCACTCCAATCCTGTTCTACCCACATACCTCCAAAATTCTACTGGAATTTCGTCTGGCCCTGTCGCTTTGCCCCTGCTCATTTTACGCATAGCCCCGACAACCTCCTTGACTCTAATGCGCCTACTATAGCTGAAATCTCGGTGACACTCGGAGTGCTCCAATTCTCCTAGCACAATGTCTCGGTCCCCTTCGTCATTCAGCAGCTTATGGAAGTACGTCTGCCACCTTCGCTTAATCTGCACGTCTTCCATTAACTCTCGGCCTTCCTCGTCCTTGATGCACCTCACTTGGTCTAGATCACGAGTCGTCTTCTCTCTCGCTTTGGCCAGCCGGAACAACTTCTTGTCTCCGCCTTTGTCCCCCAGTTCTTTATACATGCGACCAAATGCTGCATTCTTCGCTTCTGTGACCGCTAACTTCACCACCTTCTTAGCTTCCTTATAGCTTACTCTGTTCATCTGCCTCTCTTCCTCGTCCGTACTCTCCACTAACCATCGATACGCCACTTTCTTTCCCTCCACCTTACCCTGGACCTCGGCGTTCCACCACCAGTCACCCCTGTGCCCGCCCGAGTAACCCTTCGAACCCCTAACACCTCTCTTGCCGCCTCCCTAATACTGT